TTCGTTAGAAGGAAAAAGGAGACGATGGAAATTGCGTGTGTGTGTGTTTGCATTTGCGTGTTGGGGGGCTTTGAGAAACATGACAGAGGGAGCGAGGGGAGGGGTTGACAAACAAATGAAAGGGATGACAACAGAACAACAGCTTTAAAACAAAGGCGCCGATTGTTCCGTGTTTACAGGCTGCTACGTGTTTTTGCAAAGGAGCATACGGCTCCTCCACGGATTCAGGGCGCTGTATTCAAATGAGCAGCCACACACACACACACACACACACACACACACACACACACACACACACCAGCTGCCCTTTGGCTCATATCTGCGGTGACCACTTCCTCGTGGCAGTGCCACATCCTCATCGGCTGTCATGGAAACAAGGGTCGCCGGGACACCGGGTTGCTAGGCAAACACAAGGTTGCTAAGCTCACCTGCTCCCTGTGCATGCGAGTCTGATAGAAATGGAAATCATAGAGCAGAGATACACCTCTGTTTACTGGGGATGAGGCGGACAAACCGAGAGGCTGTAGAACTTGTTAGTCTCTTCAAAAAAGTCTTGAAGTCATAAATCTGAGATTGAAATCTAAACCTTAAGAGGTTTACAAGAATGCATTCGTTCCATTAAACAACATCTTCAGACTAAATAGGATTTAGTAGCAATACTCGTCATTGGACTTTTGTCTCACCTACAACGTTTTGAAAGCAGTGAATGTGCTGAATTAATAAATGAATACATGCTGATCTCTGAGCAGAAGAGACAGTAAATGAAAGAACATCTCCCAGGATTAGTCGTGCTTTTAAACTCTTTTGTGGTGACATTGATCATTTCCCATAATCAGCTTACTTATCACGTCTAAGTCATATTTTAAACATGATTAAACATGGCCAAATAAACAGCGGCTTTGGGCTTTAATTTGGAAAATGGATGAATTAGGACTGATGAGTTAATGCACAGGCTCAGTTTGGAGATTGATATTAGCTTTAAATATTAATCTCATCTCCAATCTGTATGTTTATCTCCAAAATGATATTCAATTAATCTCCCTCATATCAACAAACATGGATTTAGATTAGGAGATGTTTGCAGTGCTTTAGCCTGAAACTTGGCTCAGCAGATGGACAGTATTACGAACACTGGGATTTATCGGAATGGAAACATGTTTCTACTGGAATTTATTGCCCGAGCTTTTTATTTTGTTGACAAATAAAAGCAGATATACGTCTTATATTAGTTTTGCACTTTTTCTTCACACGTCTACAAGTTTAGTCACATTTACAGCGGCAATGTATCTTTAATGTTACAATCCTTATGATGAGCAGTAATTTAATACGGCAATTAGATCAACTTCAAAACTGTAGCGCTGATGTACATACGTGCATCATTTCCTGTGAATCCCTCGCGCGTAAGAAGGTTATTTGAATCCATTTGAATGGCAGGCTCCGTCACTAACAATGAAAACAACTGAGGTAATTACCTCATGTCAATACTTTGAATGCCTTTTGCTGGAGCAATGCAGACACATATATTAGATTTGATTAAGGATTAAAGGACAAGACTGATACAATATTCTATATTTTTCTTAAAAAGAACAAATCTAAAACTGAACAAAACCATTATTAGTCGTCTGTCTCTCAGTAACATGTCAGCTTGTGCAACAGTGTGGCTCACTGATGCGTTTTTAATAGTTTTTGGAAAACAATGGAAGTCTATGGATAAGAGGGAGAAGATAGATCAGCCTAACAATACCTGTAGGATCAGCTCTTTTTTTTTTTTTAATAAGAATATATATATATACTCTCGAGTCTTATCCTTTACGAAAATTCCAGTTTATTATTACTCACATTTTATGCAAATGATTTACAATCAAATTTAGTTTTAATTGAGTCGTAATCCCAGTTAATCCATTCATTTTATCTGTGGGAGGAACTCTGCAGATATTATTTCGCTTAATAAAAAAATGAATCATGGATAATCCTATTTGTGATGAGGGAGGCTGTTCTTTTCAAGGCTTTGAGAGAGAGAGAGAGAGAGAGAGAGAGAGAGAGAGAGAGAGAGAGAG